AAAAAAAAAAAAAAAAAAAAAAAAAATTAACTCTAGAATGCCATTTGTGCTGTAGGCAGTTTGCCCAGTTACCTGTTTACTTGGATATAATTTCACTTACCATTTCAACTTCCAGCTTTCTGTGTAATGCCTACGAGATAAATTTAACACAAAATTGTCAGTAAATATTTTAATGCTAGATTGGTGGTACACTGCTTACACTTGTAACAACAAACCACAGCCACCACAGATACATCAGACAGATGGTACATCTCTTCATGATGCAATCTGCTGAACTATGCAACCATCATAGTACCTGTTTTCATTTTCTTCAGTATTAAATTTAGTATAAAAATGAGAGCAGAAACTCACATTTGAAAAGGGGAGGAATAAAAAATAAAATAGAAAAGGGGAGGAGAGAACACTAATGTATATAAGCATCATTGCTTTGGCTATTTTCTAATCCCTTAAAAGGTGAGAAGTATAACAAAGGTTTCTCACCTGTGTGCCAACAGCTTGAGTTAGGCTTGCTCGTTAGGACCTGGGAAGAAACAGCTTGATGTGAACTTAGGTGTGCTCTCTGTTCCCCAAATCACCATTTTGGGTGCCTCAGTTAAGATTGGTGGTTAAGACTCTCGTCATTCTGGCAGTCAAGAGTAGCAAATAAACTGTCATCATTGTGGCACATCCAGTGACTTCAATTTTTTTGAGAGGGAATTTTCAACTTACTTCAGCAGCTATTCTCATCCTTTGGGACGCAACTAGGAAACAAAAAGATGCAAAACAGTGAAAATGAACCTCATTACAGCCACATTAAATATCAATGCTGTTAACATTAAAGCCTCAGAATAGATTTTCAGAAATCCCTTCTGTCCACTACTCTTAAAGCATCACGGGCTAAGACCGTCTTTTAGATTTCATTTTTCCCACCATATTTTCCCCGATTCTTACCTATCCATAAGGTGCTATCGAGCGCCACATTGCATCCGCACCTAGCTCCATACCTAGAGAGAGACCGGGTACAAATTTTTAATTCATTGTTCCACGGTTCTTTATGTCGTGTTTTTAAACTAACAATGGTGGTAACATACCATTCATTATCTAGCGACAGGCAAAGGATACATTTAACCTTACAAAGGAGAATTGCACTCGCAGTTAAGAACCACTAATTGCGGGCAAGGCGCAGTGGCTCACGCCTGTAATCCCAGCACTCTGGGAGAACAAGTCTGGTGGACCACTTGAGGTCAAGAGTTCAAGACCAGTCTGGCCCCCATGGTGAAACCCCGTCTCTACCAAAAATACAGAAATTAGCCGAGTGTGGGGCGCATGCCTGCAGTCCCAGTTACTTATGAGGCTGAAGCAGCATAATTGCTTGCACCCGGGAGGCGAAGGTTGCATTGAACCGAGATCGCGACACTGCATTCCAGCCTGGGTGAAGGAGCAAGGCTCGGTCTCAAAAAAAGAAAAAAGGACCGCTAATGTAAATATTGGTGGCACTGCGGAATGCCGCCACTTAAAGGTGGACTACCACCACCGCCAGCCTTTCCTGAGAGCGGGCGGCTGGAGGTTTGGACCACGGCCCTAACAATAGGTTACTCCGGTGACTCGGCATGTGCCACCATCAGAGCGGTTGGCATTCATCATCACTCTCAGATGTCCCTACCAACACAGGCTTCATCAGAGGGCAGGGCACAAGAGCCGAGGCTTCTCCGCAATTCTACCGGAACAATATAGTCACAGTTTAGGTCGCACCTACCAAATGTGCAATCCCCGACCATCCTCGGCTTGTGGGCCCTGCAAAGGCGCGCGAGTGGCTTAAGAAGTCAGTTTAGTGTGACCTTAACTGACAAGGGCTGGAGGGTCCGAAAGCCTTCAACATTCACAAAGACAATACCTACCAAACCAAAGCGGCCTCCTACCTCGAAAGGACGTAATGGTGCCTGGGCTCCCGTATATAAGAGTTTTCTTTGGTGACGCCATGACGCACGCTCCCGGCAGCGACTGCTTCGGCTCCTCCCCCTAGCCGCCCTCAATCTTCCCCTCCTCCAGCACCACCTTCTTCCCGCCCCATAAGCCCGCCCCTTTTCCCCGCCCTTCCTCGCCATTGTGGGCGGAGACATGACCAAGACACCGGGCTCCCGCCCTCCTCCCGATTTAGGAAGAAGAGCAGAGAGGGGAGGGGGCGCGAGGCAAGGGAAGCTCTGCGGGTGGGGGAATGGGGGCGGTGTAAGGCTGAGTGATTTCCTTCCGGCACGTCGCCCGCTTCGTGGGAGGGGGTGGGGGGTTTCACTTCCGGGACGGTGTTCCGGCCCATTCCGGCCCATTTCCACCCCCGGAGGTAGGTGCTGCTCCTTGACTGGACTCGGGCCCCACACCCTAGTCCCACTGCCCTGCACCGGGGTCACGTCGTCCGCTCTCCGCCGCAGCGCACTCCTGGGGCGCTCACTACTTTCCTTCACCCCGCCTCCAGGCACCGGGCGACCTTCCACCTCCTTGGCCCCCGGCCGGGCTAAGCTGCCGGACCCGCCCCCTCGCGGGGCCCCTCCCTCAGGACCCCGGGATGGGCTGCCCCCTCCCCCACCACAGCTGGACACACCCAGATACGCACACCCACCTCCCGGCGGCTCCCCGCCCGCCGCCACCTGGAGCGGGTGCCCGGGCACCGCCCCCTTCCTGGTTTTCACCTGAGCGCTGGCTCCCCCGCCCGACGCCTTGTCCCCCTCTTCAAAGTTCCTCAGTGACATTTTGCCCTTCATCCAATTACCCTCTCCCCATGCTTCCTAACGCAGAGGAAAGCTGCTCAAGTGCTGGAGTGGCCAACCCCATGCCGTTCCCGATTCTCCCTCTTACAGCTCTCACCCCTCCAGTGCCGACGGTAGCGAAAGACTTTACTCCAGGGGCTTCCTCACTGGGGAATTGCCGGAAAGAGCAAACAAAAAAGGCGCTGGTCTAGGCTCCAAAATAAACACATCTGAATTCATGATGGCGTCGACAGAGGCTCTTATTGGATTAAAAGTTTCAAAACAAACAATAACGCTTTGGAAAAAGGTCAGATTGGCTAAAGTTGATTCTTGAAAACAGTGTATACACTTCCCTTTGTAATAAGTTTGTTGTTAATTCAGGGCAGGACTGTGAGCTTGACAGAATAAGATCCTGAAGTTTCAGATGTGGTGTAACTGTAATATAAATGTATAGATAGTGGATGTACATTGGGCTCAAGTGTCTTCCTGTTGGGATTTATACAAACTGTACTTTCAGTAGCTGAAATTGTACTTTCAACTATTTTGTATACAGCTTCAGGTTTAATGTTTCAGCTATTTTTTTAAAATATTGTAATGGAAAAATGTTGGCCATACTTGATAAATGCTGGTTTTTTCCATTGGATCTGGAGAACTAAATTTCAGGATCGAAGTATCATCACCACCTTGAAATTGCCAACTTCGAATTTGGCAAATTTACCCACGTTTCCTAATTCTGACAACTGAACTTTCACATTCTCTGCATCTAAGTTGAATCCTGGCACAGCTGTGGAATTTACCCTAACCTAGAGTTTGCCTCACAGCCGTATAACCAAAGTCTTTTTGTGGGGGCTCTGACTCTTAAGCTTAGAAATACTAGCCTACATTCATGTGGAATATTAGTCCCTATATAAAATAATAAAGGTAATTCTTGCAGCATGTAGTAAAATACTAAGAAGAGGGATATCAAGCCATCCACATAGAACTGCATTTATTCAGAAAGCTTTCCTCCTACAGAGAAAAGTTGTAAAGTTATTATGAGATTTTATGTTCAGTCTGCAAGTACCTTATAGTTAACACTTAAAAGTCCTTTCCCCTACTTTCTGTTGAACTTTCTATTTTGATGTTATATACCTTATTAGTAAGGAAAGTATGGTCATAAGATGAATTTTTAGGAGTCTGAAGACCACTTTTTAGTTTTAACTGGATCCTCCTGCGAAACTTACAATAAACCTGTTGGTAATTCAGTTTCCACATCTAAACATAAGGAAGGTATTTCTTTTTACCTGGAGATTTTGAAATTTTACCGAATACTATGTTTAAATACTTTTGAAATGGGAAACATCCAGGGAGTAAAATTATAATTATTAATTAGAATATGGTTTCTTTTTTTAGCAGGGTTGAATGCACCCTCAGGCACGACCATGGAGAAAGGTGGGAACATACAATTGGAGATTCCTGACTTCAGCAACTCTGTCCTGAGCCATCTAAACCAGTTGCGCATGCAGGGCCGTCTCTGTGATATTGTGGTCAATGTGCAAGGACAAGCTTTTCGGGCTCACAAAGTGGTACTGGCTGCCAGCTCCCCCTATTTCCGGGATCACATGTCTTTGAATGAGATGAGTACTGTCTCCATTTCAGTCATCAAGAACCCTACTGTTTTTGAACAGCTCCTTTCTTTCTGTTACACAGGGCGGATATGCCTGCAACTGGCAGATATCATCAGCTACCTAACAGCTGCCAGTTTTCTGCAAATGCAGCATATTATAGACAAATGTACACAGATCCTGGAGGGCATTCATTTCAAAATTAATGTGGCTGAGGTCGAAGCAGAATTAAGTCAAACAAGGACAAAACATCAAGAGAGACCTCCAGAGTCTCACAGGGTTACCCCAAATCTCAGCCGCTCCCTTAGCCCACGACATAATACCCCAAAGGGAAACCGGCGAGGTCAGGTTAGTGCTGTGCTGGATATCAGAGAGCTAAGTCCTCCTGAGGAGTCCACCAGCCCTCAGATCATTGAACCAAGTTCTGATGTAGAGAGCCGGGAGCCCATTCTTCGGATCAACCGAGCAGGACAGTGGTATGTGGAGACAGGAGTAGCGGATCGTGGGGGTCGGAGTGATGATGAAGTTAGAGTTCTTGGAGCAGTACACATCAAAACTGAAAATCTGGAGGAGTGGCTTGGGCCTGAGAATCAGCCTTCTGGAGAAGATGGGAGTAGTGCAGAGGAGGTCACGGCCATGGTGATTGATACCACAGGCCATGGTTCTGTAGGACAGGAAAATTACGCTTTAGGGTCTTCAGGAGCCAAGGTGGCTCGGCCAACAAGCAGTGAAGTTGACAGGTAGGTTTGGTTTGGTTTTGTTTTCCCATGTAATGGCTGCTGTGTAGACATCACTAAAGCAGGTCCTCTGTAGTACAGAGAGCATCTTCCTTACCCGATTTTCTTGGTTAAAATAGGTTGACATTGGGGAAACTGGAGGTGCGTCAAAAGACTTGCATTCTTATTTTTTTAAAACAGGAAGCTCCAAGTCTTGAAATATTCACAATGTTGTGAGAACTGTGGTAAAGTTAGGCACTTCCATGAATCAGTATGGCATTTGCAGCCACACTAGGATCAGTAACTGCCAGGGGCTTCCTCAGGATTCCAGGCAGGGAGCTGATCATCAGCTGGGAACCTGGCAGTACTGCCCTTCCTTGGTGTGTTCTCACACCACTAGGTGGCCTCGGGAAGTCTCACTTTGCTTTGTAGCACTGCTTATTTTTCTTTGCCCCCACCTACCAAATTAGAGGAAGAATGGTACCAGCAGTAATTGTTCTTTTCAAATTAGTAAAATATTAATTCTGAAGAAAAGCTTTTTGGATATTTTTTATTTCTTTTTTCCCTTGTCATGTGATGGTATCTTCCCTGTTTTCATTCATGGATGACTGCTGCTACCACAGGCCTGAGAATCTCCCTTTTTTCACCAGTGCTACTATGCCCTATGCCTTACTTTTCTCTTTTAGTACATTGTATTTATTAGAACATTTCTTTTTGGTGGAAATACCATGAGTTTTATTCTTAGTCAATTGCGAGAACGTCCCAGTTGAAAGAAATATTACTAATTTAGATTGGTAATATTTGTTCTTTTCCCCTCCTAAAAATAAATTTAAATTGACCATATGAGCAAAGAAAACTAAAGAACTATTACTTTGGTTTGGTCTTGAGCAACAAATATGTCACAGAGATTCAGATAGTGTATACTGCATCCACTTCAGGTGATCTTTTTATTTTATTGTTTTTTGAGACGAAGGTTGCCCAGGCTGGAGTGCAGTGATATGATCTCAGCTCACTGCAGCCTCTGCCTCCTGGTTCAAGAGATTCTCCTGCCATAGCGCCTGGCTTCGGGTGATCTTGATTTGAGTATTGGCTTCCTGTGTCCTTATTAAAATACTCTTAGAACTGTATCAGAAGTTCTCAGGTGAGGGGTGCACCAAAATCTCACGAATCACCAAAGAACTTATTTATGTAACCAAACACTACCCCCATAACTTATGGAAATAAAAAAGTTAAAAAAAAATTCAGAAGTAATATCACTATCAGCATAGTCGCTCACGACTGTGATCCCAGCACTTTGGGAGGCTGAGATGGGTGGGTCACCTGAGGCCAGGAGTTTGAGACTAGCCTGGCCAACATGGTGAAACCCCGTCTCTACTAAAAATACAAAAATTAGCCGAGCGTGGTGGCGCGTACCTGTAATCTCAGCTACTCGGGTGGCTGAGGCAGGAGACTTGCTTGAACCCTGGAGGCAGAGGTTGCAGTGAGCCGAGATCATGCCACTGTACTCCAGCCTGGGGAACAGAGCAAGACCCTATCTATTTTATTTATTTATTTAGAGACAGAGTCTCTCTCTCTGTTGTGCAGTATGGAGTGCAGTGGCGCAATCTCGGCTCACCACAACCTCCACCTCCCGGGTTCAAGCAATTCTGCCTCAGCCTCCCGGGTAACTGGCATTTCAGGTGTGCGCCACCACACCCGGCTGATTTTTGTATTTTTAGTAGAGACAGGGTTTCAGCATGTTGATCAGGCTGGTCTGAAACTCCTGACCTCATGATCTGCCCGCCTTGTCCACCCAAAGTGCTGGAATTACTGAGCCACCTCGCCTGGCCAACTCACTCTCAAAAAAAAAAAAAAAAAAGGAAAATATGAGACCAGGCATGGTGGCTCACGCCTATAATCCTAATGCTTTGAGAGGCCAAGGAGGGTAACTGCCTGAGTTCAGGAGTTTGAGACTAACCTGGGCAACATGGCAAAACCCCATCTCTACTAAAAATACAAATAAAATTAGCAGGGCATAGTAGCTGTAGTCCCAGCTACTCAGGAGGCTGAGGCACAAGAATCACTTGAACCCAGGAGTCAGAGGCTGCTCTGAGCCCAGATTGCACCACTGCACTCCAGCCTGGGCAACAGAGCAAGACTCTGTCATACCCCCCCCCCCAAAAAAAGAAGAAGTAATAGCAACTTCAATGCAAAGATTTTTTAATCTTCAGGATCTATATCAACAGTCTAAAACAAATAACAGATTATCCTGGGACCTGGGGGAAGAAACAGCCAAAAACCTGATAATTAAATAGAAGAAACAAAATTATAGGCCCAGTTTTAATTTATTCTTTTATGGTCTCCCAGTATTTATGAAAGGAAGGAAGCTTATATTTAGCTTTGGCTTCACTAGCTCATATGGTCTGTTATGTTACTGTTATGACATTTTGTGTTTATTGAATTTACTAGGGCTAACCTATTATTTCAAATCAGATTATTAATTCCATGAAACTATTTCTCAGTTATCTGTTGCTTAGTTTATTCTCCTTTCCTCAACCATAGAATAAAGAGGGTCGACAT